ACCAGTTTTCCATAGCTTGACAGTAGAGGAATGGGCACCACGGCATTCCCTGAATGAGGAGGTAAGAACCATTAGAGATTATCACCATGAACGGTTGGATTGGGGCGCAGTGGAGGGATTGCTCCAGCGTGGTACCGCTGGTGTCTAACAAGCAGTGAGCTCATGCTGCCGCAATTTCCTTAATAGGGCTTGTGAGTATCTACTTGCCTGCCAGAAGACTTGCTGAGACATGTTATTCTTCTGTCAGATTTGGCTGAAATGGGTTTGATAGTTATTGGCAATAGGGCACTGATGAACCCTGCGGTTGCATAATCTTTGTTTTCTTTCAGGACATCAAGGTAAAATGTCAGGGAAAAATCAAAGACAGGTCCTAAGAAGGTCCCAGAGGATGAATTTAGAATAGCATCCCCTGATATCTAGCATGTGGCTGCTGCCACTGCAAAGTAGAGCCCTTTTGGAGCAGTCGTCATGTTTCTTCTCACACAATTCTGTAAGGCTGAAGCAAGGCAATCCTTCCCCTTTGGACAGATAAGGAGCTGTGTGGCCCAAATTCTTTGCACAAAATGTGCCTGTGTCCCTTTGAGGACCTTGGTTTTCAACAACCGGCCATCAGTACACCTAGGAAATCCCTGGCGGAGCAGGAATTTGGAGCCAACCAATTTGAACCTCCGTTCTGTCCTCTGCCGTCGCTCTCTTCCCTCAAACTGCCTTCAGAGAGTGGAGAGCAAGAGGACCTGGTGGGTCTGTGCTGTTCAGCAGCTCTCCAGTTCCCAGGGCACATGACTGTAATTTCCCAACAGAAATCTCTCTGCAGGAGGCTAATGAAAGTTGTATGCTCCCTTTAGCTTCCTAATGAGCATTGCTGTGGTAGTGAGGAAGTCCACCAGGAGAAGTACTTGGCATCAGAAAGGTAATCCCAGAGGAAAGAGATTACAGATGTTACCAGGCAGGACAAGGGAACAAAATCCAGCTATCAAACATCAGGTAGCCTGTTTGGGGGGATAGCAGAAAGTCCTCAGATGGTAACAAGTAACTTTGCTCTGTACTTGACTTGCATCAGCAATAGTGTGGCCAGCAGGGACAGGGAAGGGATCTGACCCCTGTACTCGGCACTGGTGAGGCTGCACCTCGATTCCCGTGTTCAGTTTTGGGCCCCTCACCCCAAAAAGGCCATTGAATGACTCGAGCGTGTCCAGAGAAGGGCAACGGAGCTGGTGCAGGGTCTGGAGCACAGGTCTGATGGGGAGCGGCTGAGGGAACTGGGGGGGTTTAGTCTGGAGAAGAGGAGGCTGAGGGGAGACCTCCTGGCCCTCTACAGCT